AGAACACAGTCCAGTTCTTAAACATCCCATCTTGTTGAAATGCTATGTTATTGGTTTTGATCAAGTGGCTCAGGGCACAGGATGGAGTTTAGATTGAATGTGGTGTTGTGTGACTGTTTCCAAGTGCAGTTCAGAGCAGAGTGTTTTCACCTCATTACAGAAAGTAATAATGCAGTGAAGTCAAAGTGTGAGAGAGAGGAAGGAAAACAAGGCAGCTTTTTTTATTGGAATAATTAGACGTCTTGCAAAGACCACCTGCAATAGAACAAAACACAAGCCGGGGAAGAAGCTCATATCTGGTGTGTTCTGCCTAACAAAGAGCCAACTCTAACTAAACCATCTTTTGCTGAGATGTAATTGATATTTGAAACGATGAGGAAGTTCTGTTTATGCTTTGAAAACACATTCTTTTTTAATGAATCTGAATATCCCTGATGTTTGTCTAATCACTAAATATTTAGCATTCTAATCTCAGCACATGTAACATATGGTAAATCCCCACATTGTCCCCCTGCACATCAGAATGCTGTCGCTCCAACTCCCTTGTGTCATTAATGATTTGGTGCAAAAATGATTGAATTCAGGATATTGTGAATAATGACTGATTTGTTTAAAGCAATGAATTAGTTCATGAGGAAGTAATGAGGTATTGCATTGTGGTAAGCTGACGGGAGTCCTGTCGATACATGCCAAAATAAAGTAAAGTCCGACTAATGGCTTTTCGATCCCGTCTGATCCCCACCCTCACTCATCTTTGTCTTAAATGTCAGACAAAGGTTTTATGACCAAACTTGCTACTCATTTGAAAAGCAGGTTTGGAAATGCGTTTAGTCCAAAATGAATCTATAAGACGGCTGCGATCCAAATTCATCTTACAATCATCATGGAAGTTGGTGTCAGATCTGTTTGGAGATTTGAGTCTTTTATTTCAGTTATTATAATTCTTGGGTGAAATGATTATGCAGCTATCTTTTTCTGAAAACATAAACAAGGTGCACAAGTTTGAATTTGATCATTTTCAAAATCCACATAGGCTCTGAACTATACATACAGCTTCAGCTTTATATTTACTCATCTCTAACCAAAACTTCCTGAGCAAACTGCACTTAGAGCACATCTTTTCTTGGTCTTTAACCAGATTTAGGCTGCATAATTGATCAGTCTAATTCTAATTGTCTGAGATGGAAACCCTGTGTCTATCTCAGACACAGGGTTTAGGTGCATTTCACAAATTTACGACTGTCTTTAGGGCAGGACCTGCTTAGAAGGATAATGTTTGCCCGCTTCCTTCATCTCCAAACCAGTTTTTGGGTTCCAGTGTTTGGGGACATGATGAAGCACCAGCATAGATGTTGGAATGAGGTGAGGTAGAAAAACTGGAGGTACAGTAGTTCTCAGTCCTGTAGCATGAAGCTACCAGTGTGCTTTGCTTGTGCTTCGCAGTGCTCTTAGGTTTGAAAATCTCATCTTCACTCCTTCTAATTTACTTCTTGTCATTGAGGACAAGCAGCTCATCCTTTGCCTCATCATAAAACTTTCTGCAGGAGGCATTCGGTTTGTGGGCAACTGCAAATTTCACTTCATCTTGAAGGTGTTGATTTTGAAGCGGGGCCCTTTTTCCTGGGTTCACACTCTCAGTAAACTGAAATCTAAAACATCAGTGATGCTGGTGTTCTATTAGTTTCCAGTTTCCAGAAGTCTTTAAGGCTTGGTGAGTTCTGGGTGGCTCCTGAGGATCATAACTGGAATTATGTCATCACATCAATAAAGTAGCAACAAGTGCAGTCAAGCAAATATATATTAGGCTGGCAAAGAGAATCTTCGGTCTATGTATGCATGTACTGTATTTGAGCCTGTTTGTATCAGGAGTGAAAGAGAAACTTCACAATAAAATCGAACATGCACACTCAATTCTTGATGTCAAAAACCATCTGGGTTTTTGGTTGTACAAACATTTGTCTACGGAAACATCAAAAGCTTAAAATTAGTATGATAATCATGCCCATGATGAGTGTTTATAAACTTCCGACCACAACTGTAGGTCACAGTTCCTACACATTGTAAATGCACAAACTGTCTTGGATTTACAATAATTTATTACAATTAGAGAAAAGGAAAAAAAATCTAAATTCCATATGCATTTAGGATACATGCCATTAATGATAACAGAAATTAACTGAGCACATCCATGGTGGCTGAAATACACTTCCATTGTGTTTAAGATACCACTCATAATTACACTGAGGACTGAAAAAGAAACTAAGTGAAATCACTCTTTTTTTTTTCTTTTGCGCGTTGAAATGTGCAGAGGGTTTGGGTTTCTTTTTTTTTACGAGTGCACGTGGTGCTCTGCTGAATATTAAACCGCAAACTATAAAGACAACAACGGAACTGTCGTGAGAAAATGCTAAAGGAAGTCTTTGTGGTTTTCGAGGTATCAGAGGAGCCAATAGTTTTAATGAGGCAGCACTGCTTCACATGCCAGGAAATGATAAGGTGTATTCAGGTTAGAATAACGGCAGACAGATACCATACCACTATAGAAGTACATCTGTTTGTTCAAACGCAGAGTCTCTACAGGAGCATCAGAGACAATGAGGCGTTTTAGGGACGAGGAGGGGCAAGTTTTCATTTAATATGACCGGTAAGGACGCAAAAACCAAACTTTATTCTTTAAAAATGTGAAGCTTTTTGAAATATTGTACGAGCTTTTTTTCTTCTGAGCTCTTATGTATTTTGTAGGAGATTTATAAAAACTGCACTCAGGATATTGTCAGAACAGAAAAGAAAAGAGTTGTGGGTGAGTTGCGACCTGCTCACTGCGTCTTTAGAGGGCATTCTCATACTGAATTGTTGTCTGTTGTTAAAGAGGTTGGGTTGAGTGCATGTCTTACCCATGTGTCTATGCATTCATGCACACCACCCTCGTATTCCCTGATGTGTGCGTGTGTGTGTGAGTGTGTGTGTGCGCGCGTGTGTGTGTGTGTGTGTGTTGATGTGAGCAGAGGGGGGATGTCACATAAGAAATGTCCTTTTTAATCAGGGGAAAAAATATAAAATGACTCGGGAGCAAGGCAAGCATATAAATGTGCCTCATTTGCATATGCTCGTCAGCCAGGATACGTTTATTAAAAAAAAGAAAGGAAAAAAAAAACACAAACTGGATTTGTCAGTTCATTTCACAATATTCCATTGTCTATCTGCCTTTGTTATATGTTAAAGATAAAGGCAGAAATCAAATTGAAGAAAAGGGCAAGCTGCTATCTCCCCAAATGAGCAACAGCTCATCAACCTAGTTTTCAGATTTTGATTCCAAAAGGCAGCCGCTTTTGAAAGAAGGGCCCGCTCAAATAAGGTCTTCTCCAAAATATGCATGGCTGATGATCGACACTATATATTTATATGCAGGATATGAGTTATTCTTGATATGTTTGTTACATTATTCTAAGTGAAGTAAAAGCACAAATGATTCGTTGAAAACTTTAGCAGCTTTTAGAGAACATACCCAATTCATTGGAACTGCTTCCTAACAGTTGTGGGGAGAAACAAGAAGTATTCAAAGGGCAGCCCACACGTGTCACATTCCTCTACACACAAGTAGAAACTGGTCACAATGTCTAATTCATGTCCACAAGATAAGAATCCACCATCAATTTTGTGGGCTGGAGAGCCCAGTGACTACAAGAACAGACAACGCTTATGTCTGCTAACCTCCCACTGAGGGGAGGGACGAGAGGACAAGAGAGAATGTTTTCGAGTGAAAAAGATGACAAATGAAGCAAGTATAGTCGACGGTGCTTCATAAGTACATAGTGGGGGGAAAAAAAGCAAAAAAAAAAAGCAGAGACTTAGTTGGCCTTTGTTTCGCTAACATGTGCGCCAAACTCTACATGTTTGATTTCGGTGTGTCCCATTGATGCTCCTTGCCTCCTTTTTTGTCCTGAAGCCTACCTAAAAGCAGTTCAGTGCAATACAAAAGGCTTAGCTTAAATTATCATCATGCAACTACTGTTACCAGGCAGCATACTAATCAGCTTAATGAGATATTATAGGATATTTTGTTGACTAAAGCAGAACCATGGTCATTGCTTCTCAGGGTTTGACCCAAGCAAGCAGCCAGGAATGGTGGGAAAGGCTCCTTATAACTCTCCATCTGGAGAACAGATGGGTCTGCATTTAACCATTGTTGTTCGTTTTTCTTTAATTATTTATCTACTCATGTTACACATGGAAGTAAAATGGTTTCCAGCAGTTGGAGAAAGAAAAAGGAGTAAAAATCTATTAAAGATGTATTTTTTTGTATTATTAAATGTAGGTGTGTAATTTAACTAGTGTCGTCAATGTGCATTATGATAAAAAAATGTATCTTCAATTAAGAAGTTACTATTGAACTTTATTTTATTAGTCTTAAAACTGAAGAATCTGGTAGATGTAAAAACCAAACAGTGGTAAAAAAAACAAACAAAACAAAAAAAAAAAAAGAAAAACGAGGACAGACACAGGAGCATTGATATATCCTTAGGAGAGTTGCACCACGAAAGGTTGAATGAAATTAGGATAAAAATCTAAAAATCCTTTGGTCATTTTGAACAACCATTTTTGTTTGAAGTATTATTGTAAATATCATAATTATTGCATGGAGGAAGCTTCCCAACAATTTAACTCGACTTTTTCAGAAAGGTTAGTGGGTAATTGAACTGATTCTAATAGGATGGGCACTAGTAGCTTAAATACACACTCCTGAATTTTTGAAAGGTGTGTAACAGTAAATATTGCATCCAGTGTGGCTTTACGGTTTGAAAAAACTATAAATGTAAAGAGAATATCTCTTTCATTGACAGTGGTGGTTTTTGCAAGGTTAGGGTTCCATACATTGAGTTAGGCATGACCCATGGTCATGTTGTTGGATAACCAGAAATCTATTTTGCATAATACAGTAATATATTTATTGTTCTTATTATCATTACAACTAATTTCTTTTCTTCTGTCTGGTCCCACAGGATGGAGGACTCCAGTTTATGTCTTGGTGTATCATCAGCGGTGCCTGACACCGATGCCCATCTCAGTAGTGCAGTTTTAAATGGCCGCTACCCCATCAGTCAAAAGCTTCACCAGCTCACTGCCCAACTAGGACACGCCTTTCCTGACCTGCACCGCCCACAGCAGATTCCTGAGGAGAAGGCTGTCACACCTCTGGATGAGAAGACGCACCACGCAGCCCTGGCCAGTCAACCTATCAGCAGTCAGATGGCCCTGTTAGCCAATCAGCTCAACCGAGACATTGATGCAGGTGCACTAAGTGGGCTAAATGGTCGGGTTGATCTTCAGCAATTTCTCAATGGCCAAAATTTGGGCATCATGTCGCAGATGAACGATATCGAAGATGATGCTCGGAAGAATAGAAAGTATCCTTGTCCGCTGTGTGGCAAACGTTTCCGTTTTAACAGCATCCTGTCACTCCACATGCGTACACACACAGGCGAGAAGCCATTCAAGTGCCCCTACTGTGACCACAGAGCAGCTCAGAAGGGCAATTTAAAGATCCATCTTCGCACTCATAAACTTGGAAATCTGGGTAAAGGCCGTGGCCGTGTCCGAGAGGAAAACAGGCTGCTTCATGAGCTTGAGGAGAGGGCCATCTTGAGAGATAAGCAGATGAGAGGAAGTGGAAGTCTTCTCCAGACTGCTCAAACACCCCATCTTGTCCTCAACAGCAGCTCCAACACCCATCAGCAGCAAATGCCGTCAGCCTGTGGCCCACCTCCACTTTCTGGCCTCGCAACTCCAGACACAGTTTCTCAGCCATCTTCTTCACCGAAGCCAACGAACCAGGATGAACAGTCCGTGAACCCAGCTAACGGTTACCGTTGTACATTCTGCAAAGGGAAATTCAAGAAGCGCGAAGAATTAGACCGCCACATCCGTATTCTCCACAAGCCCTACAAATGTACTCTATGTGAATTTGCTGCCTCCCATGAAGAAGAACTGATAAGTCATGTGGAGAAAGCTCACATCACAGCTGAAACCACACAAGGACAGGGTGCCAGTGGAGCTGGTGGCATGCAAATGGCCACTGAATTTCGATGTGATGTCTGTGGCCAGGTATTCAGCCAAGCATGGTTTCTTAAAGGTCACATGCGAAAGCACAAGGACTCCTTTGAGCACTGCTGTCAGATCTGTGGCCGTCGCTTTAAGGAACCCTGGTTTCTGAAGAACCATATGAAGGTTCACCTAAACAAGCTAGCCATTAAGAGCAAGCCACCACAGCCCAGTGAGCAAGACATGGCCGCTGTTAATAGCATGAGCAATCTAGCTCAAGAAGCTCATGCCAATCTCTATTCCCGTTACATCTCATGTCTTCAAGGAGGGTTCCTTTCACCAGACAAACAAGGCCTTAGTGAGCAACACCAGATGTTGGCTAAAGCAGGGATTGCCATGAAGGAAAAGGAAATGTTAGGAAAACTGCTGGGACCAATGGCAGGGGGGATGGCACATGGGCTTGGTGAAAATGAAAAGCGCTCACTCCTTGGTTGTCTCAATCTTGTGCCGCCACTCAAGTCCAGTTGCATGGAGCGCCTTCAAGCAGCTGCAAAAGTGGCAGAAATGGATTCTCTCAACAGCTATCAAGCCTGGCAGATCATGGCACGTGGTATGGCCATGGACAGGGCTTTCATGCCCAAGGAGCAGCAGCACCAGCCACATATAACCCCAGGGCAGGAAGATGAGATAAGTGGTGCTGTGGCCCTGGCTTCCTACTCAAAGGACAAACAAGACTATTCCATGATTGCTTCTAGTGATAGCTCCAAGCAGAAGCAGCTCTCTGAGGGCATGCAGGGATCTAAGGCTTCCAGCGGAGCCATGATTCCCATGAAGGAGGATGGCAGAGGCTTTGAAAGTCATCGTGATCTTATCTCTCACCATGGTGGTGCTGAAGCTCCTGGAGGCCTGTCTGGTTTAGGAGCTCCAAACATTGACTACAATCTTTCCACCCTGAAGGAGAAGCCTTCAGAGTGCCCTGACTGTGGCCGCGTCTTCAGAACCTACCATCAAATGATTGTCCACTCCCGAATACACGGCAAAGACCGGAGAGGCCTTGATGAAGCTCTTCATCAAGGTGTAGATGAGCGTCGTGGCTCTGCCAGTGACCCTGAGTCCCAGTCCATCAGCCGTTCCACGACTCCCGGTTCATCCAACGTGACCGAAGAGAGCGGTGCCGGAGGCGGACAGTCCCAGACGGGGAGCATTCAAGATGACAGTCCACATCCTTCATCGCCTTCCTCAGGTAATAGAGCAAAATCCAAGAAACTAGTACTTTTTTCACCTATTTATTTTGTTCCATAATTATTTTGCTGTCCATTGCACAAACAGTAACTGTAGTTTTACAAAACCATGGATGAGTTCATTTTTAAATACATTCAAAAAGAAGCAACAGATACTCCTCAAAAATTAAATGCTTGTTTTCTGGACATGGATCCAACCACTGTCATACATCATCTTAATGAAGAGTGATTTGAGATACTTTATACTCATTTACTCAATATAAACATTGTTTTTTACCCACAGATATCTAGTTTCAATTGAAGGCGTATGGACAAAGTCAGTTAATATTTTTAAACTATTTTCATCTCAGTTTCCATTAAGCGTTAAATGGCTCCAGAGAAAGTGATCCAAGAAAACACCACGTTTACAACTGCATTCTCATTTGCAGGTTAGTCGTTAAGATCCCTGTGGAGCATGGCTAAAGACTAGGAGCATAGGGACAAACTTGTTTTAACCACAGTGATTAACAAATGTCTTTAATAAACTCGGTGGAGAATACCCAGCCCCTCCCCTACCCAGCAAACACAGACTGGCCGGGGCTAGATAAGTGTATGTTTAGTAGGATTAGGGGCAGCTCATTGCTAATGATTACACTAGTTTTTAAAGGTAACTTTTGGTTGCTCCTTAGGGCACAATACTGGCATTAAGAATCCTGTGCAGTAATTAGGTCACGGATATGCGATAATCAGCCGGTTTAAGCTAAACAAGACACTAATTAAAGATATACATATAAAGCAGGTCAAAAAAAACTGAATTTCATTTGCAAAAGCAAGAATGTACTCTTGAATCCTTTGAGAAAAATAAATAAATATATATAAATATAACTTAGAGTGGCTTAGCTTAAGGCTATAAGGAACTTAATTCCACCAGTGGAGACAAAATTGTTTATTTATTCACAGAGGCATGAAGTCCTTATCATGCCTGTGTAGTGTGATGGGTTTGAACATGGGACAGGCTATGTTTATTTTAATCTAAGAAATAATAACAGACAACCCCCACCCCAATTAGGAATTAATGAAAATGAGAGTGAGATAAAAACCTATTTTCTTTATAGAGACTATTAAACATAACACTTTCTCAACAGGGTGGGGGTGTTGCGGATGTAATTATCTTCTGAATTTTAATGCTGGAAGTTTTTCCCTCTGTATAACCCCCTCCACCCCCATCCTCCTCCTCCTTCCATCTTAGCATCTACAGCTCCGTCTCTGTTGATTTTGACTTAAGCACCTCAATTCTGATGGGTGCAGCTTGTGGCATTTCAACTGATTTAGAAGCACAAGCAAGCACATAAAACTTAAAAAAAAACAAAAAAAAAAACTGTAAAATACGGTAAACCAAGTTGTATTATAGCTTAAAGGTTTGTATTATGTTTGTGCTCAGAGTTTAATAAGAGAATTAAAAGTCATTTAAAAAGAACATAACCAAGTCAAAACAATAGGTTTACTTTAGCATATATGTCATGCATATATGTGGTTTGTCTACAGTTCATTTGTGTCAGACTCAATCCAGTCACCTACACTGTTAGTCTGTGCCTCAACTGAGAGGCTGTGGTTGAGTTTTGTACAACTCAGTGATGTTGATTGGCATCTTTGGCAAGCTGTTGCAATTTTTCAATCTTCTTTCTCCTTTAAAAGCACACAACTAAAGTGGGCTTGTTGTTCTTCACAACCTCTAAAACTCGCTTCACATTTGGAGCTCAGTAACCTTCAAATTAGAAAGTTTAATGTGTGAAAAATACGTGTGGAGAAAGGTGTCATATGGGCGTCTACATTTATGTTTAGTGTGCGCATGAGTTAAAGGGGGTTGTACTCTGTGTGAACATATATATCACTGTGCTGTGAACAGGATGTGGTCACTGTACCATTGTCTTTATCTTAATAACTTAGCTCTTGAAGAGAAAAGAAAGAGAAAACGGCTGTTTGATTCTCTCTGACTTGGTGCTTCTGCCTGTGAGTGCATGTGTGCAAGATGGCCTCTGTCTCACCACCTACCCACAGCAATTTTGAGTTAAACTTAAATTATAGTAATCAACAATAACATGTCAACTGTGAACGAAGGTGAACTCTGGCACTTTTGTCTTTGAGATGGAACTTATTTAAGAGCTCTGAGGGAAAACAAAGAGAGAGATGGGTGTAGGGTGGGTGCAGTGGCACAGGAACACACACGGACGCACATACGCACACACATATAGGTGTGTGTGTGTGT